GGTCGAGCCAAGCCAAATTATTCGAAACTTGTTTTAAATCATTGTCAGGATTTATTATGTATGAGATCAAATCTTGTGCCCTTTATTGGACATGTCTATGTCATTACAGTTGCAAATAGATAGCATATCCAGTCACTAGTAATATTCTTGCTCAATAAAAACAGTTACATGATCGACCTCTTTAGCTTGGCCTCTTATCAAGCCTTCTTGCGGCATGTCTCGTAGCTTGGCCAACTTTGGTCGCAGCCTCCATTGCCTTGTCAGCCTTTAAAAGGCTATGGTTCGTGTTTCTAAATTCTAATACCATATCAAAAATCGTAACTTTTGAAAACTCTTAAGAACTTTTGAAAATGTGAAAGTAGTTTCTTAATATCGAGCTTCAACTTTTCGATCAAATAAATAACTCAAATATTTTGCCAATTGGTAAATTTTTCGTGTTTTGTGTCCTAATATCCTTAGCTCTTTCTTTCAATCTTATTTGTGAAATTGAAGAAATCACTTGCAAAACTGTTTTTGCCCATTCTTGCAGCCATGTTGGAGCATTCACATGATCTCAAACCTTAAAGCTTGTATCTAACGGAGAGCTTGTTTTCTTTTTGGACATGTATATCCACAATCGTTTGTCATTTTTGATGGCTCCGCTGGCAAATTATGTCAAGACGGTTGCAAATCGAACAAAACAGTCTGTTCAGATTTTCTAGTCATTCACAGTATCCAAGTATTCATCATTCTTGTAATGTTCTTGCTCTATAAAAAGATAGTTTATTTGTGATACAGAAATAATTGAGAGGAAACTAAACAGAGATCCAAATTTGAATCTCAAATCACACTTAAAGCCCGCCATTTTGAGGCAAATTGTTGTTTCTTGGATGGCTGTGATGACATGTTGATGCCTAGTACTAATGAAAAATGTGCTTTTGAAGCCATACTCAATTTTGGTGAATCGAATTCGGATACGAGGGGTCTTTATGCGGCTTTTCCTGTGCAACCTCTTCCCAATGGCATGACCTACTTCAAGAAACCAACTTGTCGACCCATAGATGCGACTCAACACTACATCGATTTCTTGGGTAATACTTCTTGTTCTTACCATGTTTCGATGAATCCAAGAAAGGGTTCGACTTGGTCCCTGGACATTCTGTCCTACCATAATGTTAAAGATCTTCTGATAGACTATAAATAAGTCATATTTCTGGTTCAATATCGATGCAACTCAAGGTTTAGGACTGACATTTCTAAGCCCTTGTGGCCTTATCTTCAATCAATTGAATCTGATTTTAGACTTGGTGCAAACTTTGCCACATCAGGATCCACAGTACTGCTGCCTAATGCTTCCGTATTTGCAAGTAGAACTAGTCCATTCTCTTTGGCTATTCAACTCAATCAAATGAAGCAATTGAAGTCTAGAGTTGATGAACTCTACTCCATAGGTAATCAGGTAATTACTTCTCATCGACACATGCCTTTTTTCTTTCGTGGACCTAAGTTAATAACTGATATTTTCCCAATTAACGACACAGTCTGTTGATTTTCAATGTTAAATTTTGTTCTAGGACAAAACAATCTTCCTCCACATGACACATTCAAAAAAGTCCATTACACTATCTACATTGGCCAAAATGACTTCACCTCAAACTTCGCAGCAATTGGAATCAGTGGAGTTTGCCACAAGTAGATTCCTCAATTGCAAGCACAATCAAGGTTAGAACTCTAGCATTGTCCTAATATACTACACCATTTTCTCCCTCGCGACAACTAAGGGCATGTTTTGCACTTAATAATGGACTGAAAAGGCTACAATTGGTTTTCGTCTACAATAATTAAGAACTTACTGATTAGGAAGGCGCACATTTCTCGTACTCAATCTTGCTCCAATAGGTTGTTAACCAACGTTCTTGGTCGAGCTGCCTCACAACAGTGGTGATATAGACGCATTTGGGTGCATGACATCTTAAAACAATGCAGCGAATGAACACAACATTATGCTTAAGGAAACACTTGAATAAACTAGAAAAGATCTACCAAAGGCAAATGTAATTTACGTGGACACTCAGGCAGTTCTGCTAGACCTCGTCCAGCACCCGACCTCCCATGGTAAGGTCTTTTAAGCCTAACATAACCATCGCGCAACAATTCAACTCGAATCACACGGGGCTAATCTTGAATACACTGAAGGTACAGGGTTGCAGCATGGAACTAGAGCATGTTGTGGACATGGAGGTGGTGCCTACAATTTTAGTCCTCTAATTTTCTGTGCATACTGCTTGTAAGGACGCTCAAAATTATGTGAGCTTGGATGGTCTACACACTACAGAAGCTGCTAATATATTCCTTGCAAATGACATTCTCAATGGTTAATATTATGATCCTCCTTTTCTGTTTAATCAGTTTTGTAATTCAGTTTTAGATGTGTGTTTTGTATTGAATTCCCAAAATGTGAATGTTGATATCATAAATCTATTGAAACTTGAAAAAGTAAGAGAATATTTGCGGTTGTTCTATGACTTTGGCGTGCAATAGTCGTCTAAAATGAGTAATGTTATTTATTATCACTAATGTTAAGCACCGGTTTAGACGACACTTACATGACATTAAATTATAGATTCATTTAAATGTCAAGTCAGATGACTCGTTTAATTGAATCTATAAAGTGTAGCCACCTAAACTGGTCCTAGATAGCATTATTCGTCCAAAATAGTACATGTCTAAGGCAGTGCTCAGGTGTCGAGGTCATTGGACGTTCAAATTAATTGGATTTGAGAGAAAAATTAAATAGAGTAATTGAATTTGTTCCATGACTGACTTACAATTACATAATTTCTTGTCCAACTCGTGGTCTTTGGCTATTCTTGCCTCGTATGTTGTTGCTCATACGTCACGTTAGATCTTATTTTCTCCTTATAGTGCATACTTGTTTGATTTAACTTATAGAGCGCTTAGGTGATTTTATTTTTTATTTTTATCTCAAAAGCGCATCTCTCCAAACTCCTTTTTTCACCAAAGGTCTGATATGGAAAACAAGGGATTTGAACTCGGGATACTGTCTACTCCTAATATGGATGACATAATATACAAGTGGCAGTACATTATTGGAGGGTGTGCTGGCACACCGGCACACACTCCAATATGATAATTCTACTTGTACATTATGTCATCCATTATGGATGGCATAATATACAAGTAGAATTATCCATAATACAATGGCTTC